TAGACGGTGTTGTTCCAAACAGCATCCGCGCGCCGCCGGTGGGTTTGGTCTTTGTCTTCTCTGATATCACCTTACAGAACTCAGTCCTTCAGGGACAAGCATTTATTCGGCAAAAACAGCCCAGCGGAAATTACAGCATATTTAGCAAGACAAACTCCTCGGTATAAATTGCGGGTTAAAGTCCATAACTAACAACCCTTCTGAGTTGATGAGGTTCCTCCTTTGCTTCAGTCAAACAAACGGTGAATCACTCAGACAAATGTCGGTCAGTCCGAGTCCAGGATTCGAATTCGTCACGCTCGCCTCCCTTTGGCCGTCTTGCTCCATAGGCTGGTGCATCTGCTCACTCTGATCTGATATTACCATCACAATCATGACCACACATTAAAAGTTTACAACTGAAATCAGTAGGTATTTTGTACTAAACCAAAGGGCGTCAGCTACCTTTTTGCGCTATCTGTTATTGGGCGGATTTCCGTACACGTTTAGGATGGTGCAGTCTAATGTATTATGAACTGGTTGTCCGCGTATTTTGAAATTTACGGCATATTTTGAAGACCGCACGCAACGTCACATCATTCTTGGGTTATTAACTATACATTTGCGATCACTTGCCGATTGTGTGGATCAATTCATCTCTGTGATCAGCACTGAGATAATGCTTAGTTCGGTCATAAGTTGGTCGTGCCGTCCCTATGGCTACACGACTATTGGCATATATTTTCGACAGAGGTGGCAGTGTATGTTAATTGCCGGCGAGGGAGCGAGCAAGCGCGGATATGGTAGGGTGTGTATAGGCTGGAGGTTAATAATGGGCAAACAATGGATCACCAAGTATTCCGTAGCTACCTTGGAAAACACCGTATTTGAGCGAAGAAGTGCTTATTGGACGACTCAGATTTTGTCACTTCATGGCTATAAAATGCGCAGTACACATCCCATTCGTCAAATACTAGTACCTACTTATACAGCTATACCAACAGCAGGAAGAAAAATAGTCATTATGTAATCCGAGATGTTCCACCTAATAGTATGAATTGTTGGATGAACATGCTCTCTAGGGAGCGTCAGTAATGAACTCTTAGCATCCAGTTTTAGTTCGTCGCACATACCCCAGCATTATACAGTAAGGACGTTGTGAAGGTTTTCTGAGCACAGTATTTGAGCTCAGCCAGTGTCCCAGTTAACATTTGGGTATGGACTGGACCAGGTTAAAAGTTTTTTAAGGATCCATCACCCGTGTTATTGGGGCCAGTAAGCAAAAACAGTTGCGCGGTACTGAGTTCAGAGAGGTTTGGAAACAATCAGTTGGTATAGTAGTTTGGTAACGTTTCGCTCTCGACACGAGAGCTTCGTCAGACCAGGTAAATCAGTGTGCAATTGGTGTGGGATTTTATAGCGAATAGGGGCGATAACCTCGTTACCCGGTACTTGTGGACCGTTCGCAAACATCCCCAATGAGACAATCGGAAAGGGTTTGCATAACCTTCTCGTCATATCGAGCCCATTTCCGTCCGCGGTCTCTTGAACCCAGTGGTCTTTGAACCCAGGAAATTCCCTTCATCAAAAGCCGACTAAGATTACCGGACTACGGGCCACAGTGATTGTAACCATAACGAAAATACCTGTCGCAATAGAATTTGGCCCATATTGTGCAGCTGTAAATGTCAAAACAGTAGATAACTATGAATCGAGAGTTCATCGCAACGACATCTAAACATCACAGTCTTCCATGTGCCTAGAACGGCACCAGACTGCGCTCACGATCTGTTGCGCCCAGTGACATAAGATTTGGACTGGCGGTTCAATGCGCTGGTGGTCATGAGATCAGATCCTGTTGAGACCGATAGATATGCATTGCTGACGAAACTGTCGTTTGGGGCTTTTACTGGCATGCGGAAGTATATCTGATCTAGAAACTGAAGCGATTAACACTCGTTTAATTACTACTTCGATCCCATACTGAATGGACAATGTTGTATCACCGCGACACGAATTCCCTCGTCAAAAGTAGCTTGGATCTTTATTTGCCAGATAATGGACCACTGAATTGAAGAAAGTAGTTCAAAATTTCACGTACTTTTACGCGCGGTGCAAGCAGCACAATCCATTTCTTTAGCTTAACTCCAATCGTACCCGTAGGAGCTGTTGGTGCCAAAATGATGTCAAAGAATCTACGGTAGTTACAGCGTCAGCCTTCGTACGCAATAAGCTTGAGGACATATGCACATAGTATTGTACTGGTATAAGGATGGGACAATAAAGCCATAAAAAATTGCAAATGCCCATTTAATAATCAAGAACATGGAGCCAGAGGTGAACAATTGTTTTCGGTGTTTTCTCTTCAGAATCGTGCAATCACATAAGGAAAATAGCAGCGGAATTACAACGGTTTTAAATGCTTCATTCTCAGTAACTTCTCAGATTCATATGGTCTCAGCCCTACCGCGCGGTTCGATAACATAGAATTTAATTTACTACCTGAACCTTTCATAAGAACTCATTAGGATTCCATGTATTACAATGATCGAATGTGCACCATAGCGTGAAATCCTAACGCCCACGTGAAGATGATACTACTCCACAGTGAGTCACCGGTCTATGGCGCTATAATGCTTCTTCATAAAACCGAATTTGTTTGGGTTTATAAGATAGGTTTGAGAAGTTAGGCAGATGGTAAAGAGTCCAAGATGGGCAATCATGTTATGGAAACTGGAATGAATGGGCACGCTAGCACTAAAACGGCCAAGCGACGGTATTCACAGATGGTTTCTGATATTTACCCGATGTAAGCAGTATTTCTGACATAGATCTAATACTAACTTTGGTCTTTACGGTACCACATACAGCGACCGGTTAGGATTGCTGCTAGTACTAAGCTGTCTTCAGTAGTGATAGCTGCGGAGCACGAATCGACAGCCTCTTCAGCCAAGCTGCAACATTGTTTAGACAATGCTCGATATCCCGCTACCTGACAATGAAAGCACTGAAGTGTTTTCCTACCATGAAATGGCTCGGTACCAGCAACTTGCCACGAATTATCCTCAACCTCAGAACAGTGGTGAGGTCTTGAACTTCTCTACGTATATGTAGCATCTCAGTCACACTTGAGTCATGATTTATCGTAGTCACACCACGTGAATGAAATTTGCGCCAAAATTAGATGACTGATATTTTACGTCACTCAAATGGGATCATCCCCTGTAACACACAATTTGATTCTGAGCTCCATCACTGAATGTATCCTGCCACCTTGGACCCTTTGCTCTCCTGTGATATTTGCAAGCATACTCTGTAGCCATTTCAACCAGCCTGACTGGTCACTGAAGTACGTGTCTCGCTTCAGTGACATTTCAAATCTAACCTTAACTCGAACAATTGTATCCACCAAGATTTATTCTTGCACACACGTTGTTGCAAAAACACTACCTGATATCAGTCACCATGTACAGTGGATAGTCAAACGTTAGATGTACTTCATCGACCAGATGAAAGTGTAGAGCACTAAGTGCCCCACAGTCTCCTACGGTTTGTCGATTGCTCCCTATCTAACCAGATTTTGCTTGATAAGGACGATAGTATCCAAGACCAAATCGGTCAACTAGACCAATGAGGTTCTGTTATTCATCAACATTTTCTTTATTGTTACCTTAACACTGTTACATTGCATGTTTATCATGCGTGTCACAGAGGAATATACCTCTTTATTCTATTTGCTTCTGTATTTATTTGCGATGTCTAATGGTAGAATACAAATATGTATCATAAGGTTAAGTCATCAGTGTTTTCAATTATTCAATAGAAGCATTTTAAAACAATGCTTTGATGATCGCGCTGTTCGAGAGAAAGCCATGAATTCTCATCGACATAAAACCAGCGTAGGAATCAGTTAATATACACGCTGACGCGATCCACAATTCCAGTCCTCTTCAACTGAAAATGTTTTTACCGAATTCGAGTTTACTTACAGATTCGTTTAAACTGGAGGGAAGAAACGGTGGTATCTACCCTGTTCCTAGTGTGAACGTGAAGCATATTGGTTATTGGAGGGTCTAGTTTGGATTACACGTTGTGTGAATTACATCGAAACGCGTCGTGGCTGTGCAGTGTTTTCGGGTGGGTAATACCCAATTTACATATTGGTTATTCGTGGCTTTTCGATCCTCCCCAAAACCCCGAAGTATTATAAGGCCGCGGGAGCCTAAGTGAAGTATGAACGGTACTCGGATGAAGGGAAAACAGTGCTGCACCATTGCATACATGGTGACATGATCAAATGAAAGTTAATTGCACCAGCTTTCAAATCAGACAGCCCACTACCTGCCTGCAAGGAATCCGCAGTAGTGCGTATCCATCAGGATCCTTCAGGATTCGAAACCACGTTCACTAACACCTTACACGCTAGCCAGCAGCTTATGCCAATGAACCACGGGGGTAGCCAATCGTTGTCATGATTTACAAGTTAAATGCTACATAGCGAGTATCATCATTCGCTGTCATGCAAACTACGAACGTTGCACAGGACAGGATTGGCGTTAAAGATACTACTTCTACTAACAGTTACTACGTACGACTTAGCATTTAGAAACTGTTATGGTGAATATTTTTTATCTACTCATGCGTAGGGGATTTTGATGTAATTAATTGAGAGTTCGCCGCAGCAGGTTCCAACTCAGATAGTCGTCCGCGTGCCCGGATAGCTGAACTTTCAGCCTCTTGTTCACCAGTAGTAGTGTACAACCATCATATTTCTCAGGATCCGAACATCTATCTGCCAGCTGCTTGCCTAGTCAATTAGCAGCTTAGGCGACGGGAGACAGTTTCGCACCGACAGGATTTGCAAGCTAACTGTGATTTCGCGCATTTTCCTTTATTCATTCAAAGGAAGACGTTTGACAAAGGAATAATTTTGTGCATACTTATCGAATGAAAAGATCTACCTAACGGTATGAATATTTTTTTAATTTTATGGGCGGAATAATCAATAGGAACGCACTCACCAGGATCTCTGTCCGCTCCGCTTCAGGGATCTTCTTTGGAGTTAGTTCAACCAAGCGCGCTTTTACGTACTCAAATGTCGGTCGGGTCAGTACGTCCTCCCAGCATCTTTCTATAAGCTGTGAGGTAAATGGTGAGCAAACATTAGTGGTTACCGGACCGGGTAAATAAACCATCCTGTTAACGGCACAGAATTGTTGTTCTTCAAGTCCTCAAAATTGATGTATGGACATCGGTGTCTAAGACCAGTCGAATTAGAATAGTGGAACTAATATGTGCGAAGACGGACGATTATAACGATTGACAGAATAATATATATAGACAGACAGGAGAATGTGTAGAAAAAGAGATTGATAGTATAAGATGTGGGTAAAAGCGTGGTGCATCTGGGATTGAGATCTTAGCCATTAGCGTGTAAGGCTGCGTTGATTTCTATGTCATCCAATTCGCATCCAAAACTCTGTTATCGCCATCGTTACACATCATCACCTAAACATTATATAATCCACGCCTTATTAATTCCACACAAATAGATAACAATGGCTCGATTCGAAATGGCAGCTTGATCCCGAGAGGAACGACGATTCGTGTAACAGTCCATCAAGACTGTGTTGTCTATCTGATATTATTAGACAGCATCCTATTCAGATTAACTGCCTTACCGTCTAACCAGTTTTGTTTCATAGACAACTCACGAAATGAGCGTGCACGTCGGACAATTTAAATGACGGTTGCTTTCGCGATGGAGCTAAACTCACATGCGTGCCAGCTTCTCCGCTCATAAAATAGCGCGCCGAGTGTTATCCAACGGAACACAATGCACACCATTGCGCTTCGGTCCATCAGTCCTCACTGGACTTGACACTCTGTTGCTGATGTCGACAAAGTACTTTGTTTTAAATCTAGTTTAAGACCCAAGACCATTCATTGGAGATTAAATAGAAAATGGTAAATTCGTCATAATCGGCCAACCTGGCGTGTTGCTGAAGAGTTAGGCAAACTATGTTGATTGTTTGTTATTGGGTTTTGGAATAATTGCCGTAGGTTTAAATCACGACACAGTTTCATTTAAGAATACAAATTGGTAACAGGTAACTGTGATACTGCTACCGCTGGGACCGTACTCGACGTGGATAACTTCTGTGTTGCTTTCTCTTATCTGTGCACTTCACGACTGGGTGTATCCTCACTTGAACGTACCCAAATCCGGACTGATGGTGAATGCTACAAAACTGAACACTGAAGATCCGATCACTGCGCTAAGCCTTGCTGACAGATTTCTGGGATCTGATGTTCAGCATATCAGCCGTCAACCCTCAAAAGAGACCGAACGAAGATGTACCCGGCAGCGGAGTTCACTCCGAGGAGCGGACAACACCAAAAACCCTCGCCTTAATCACTGTTTGGAGTTCCTGGTTCATTCATGCTAACAGTCTGTGTGGGGTTACAGTTCAATATACGTATACAAAGACCAGCAGTGTGCAAGAAAACAAAGGCAAAAGAGACAAAGCAAGAAATGTGTGAACTAGTATGGATATGGACTAATATAATTTCCGGCTTCTAGCATGTGAAAAGATTGTAGTTTGTTAGGTGGACTTATTCGCACAAAATGCATTCTGTATTTCTCAAGGCAGTCGTAGCAAAATTTTTCTCCGCAATTACGTCGATTCACCCTGCTTATATTAATGGTCACCATCACGGACCACTAGAAAGCTGGCTTCAAGTTAGAACAGTAGGGCCATGACAAACATAGGACACGGCTATTTTTAATTCGCTACTGTGTCAGATGCTAGATGCTAGGTGCTGCTAATGGCGTATTCCCCTACTGGGTCCATCTAAAGCCGCTGATAAGTTTTGGTCAATGCAGCCCAAACGGGCCTGACAGTTATTGGTGGCAAAGAGAACATATCATATCAGGTAGTCAAATTTAGAAAGGCACGGCTTTTGGTCAGTGAACAACTTATTCATTATAGCAAGACATTGTGTGACGATTGGGAGGCAGATACACGTGCTCATGCCCAAGTCACCCGAAGAGGTCGGGCCACATGTTAAAGCTAGACGGCTTCAATTCAGACATCTCAGTTCTTTTCCCCATAGTACTGCTATTATACTTGGACGCTAGTGAGCAAGTGTCATGCATGAATGGATGGACAGCGACTACTTAAGCTCCATCAAACAAAGCAGTCTACCGTTACGTTGATCCATAATGCACCTAGTCTGGAGAGGACGCATTCGTAACACTTTCTATTCAAAAGCAACGCAAGTTGTTATTCGAATAGTTAGGTGTTGATTCAAATTTAAGCCGTGTTCACTACTCGGACAGGCCGTGCGGAACAAACAACCAGACAGCCAAGACGAATTTTTGTAGGGATTCCAAGTAAACCATGTAGCATAATGAGTGGGTAACAGATCTATGAAGCTCTAGCCAGGACATTTTCAAAAACAGTGCACCGTGGAAACAAACAGTTGGATGCAGAGGGCACCCAGTGGTGACAACCTAAAGTTCGTTAAGGTGAAGTGCGAAAAGGTCAGCTAAGAAGATAACCAAGCAGCTTTGTTCACTGTGTCGGTCAACGGTGTCAAATTGCCGAGAGCAGGAGGGGTCCGTCAGTATGACAGTGACTGGCCTATGTTGGCATCATCAATGCGTTATCCCCTCCAGCGGTCGGAGAAATGCGACTGGTCTACACGGTAACAGATACAGCGCAGCAACCCGTCAATGGGATGTAAGTTACTGGATTGTAACGAAAGAAACGAAGAATCATTCAGAAAGACATATGAAACTACATACCGTGGATGATGGTGCGTTGCTAATAACAGTTCGCTAGGCTGAAACTAACACTTGCTTTTAGTTTGAAGGTTTAGCCGATATTGCCCCCGAGTGGCAGCGTTTTCGGTGATGCTCATAAAAGGAATATTTATACGAACAGTTACTGGTTGGTCTCGGGTGAGGCAAACATTATAACCTAGAATTATTTTAAAAGAACACTAGATCGATCGCACTGACATATCAGTACCCAGTATTTCGTAGTGGACCGACATTTTCCTTTAATGGGTATTTCCGTAGAGATAATTAAGTAAACTTATCTAGTTAGTCAATGTTTAATTAGTTTGCGTTAGAGCCGAATTGATGCAACATAATACACCCGAAAGACATCAAATGCACAGGGTATTTATTTCAAAGACACTTAGGTTTTTCTACGATTCAACTACGCATAAAGCACTGAAATCAGTAATCATGCGATTAAGAGTTTGCCCAATAAAGACCTCTTCTCAAGGCTATATAGTCTTAAGTATAGTACAACAAGCTACTATCATGACAATCACAGAAACATCACTACATAAGCCACCACTCATCGGAGATATAGTTGAAGCAGAAAAATTGTCTTATCTTTCCTTTTGATCGCCATCATCACAAGAGTATTCCAGCCTTTTACATCTGGAAATATTTTCTAACTGCAGTTAGCAATCAGTAGTTCTTCACGTTTGCATTTGGTTATTTGATGAGCACACTATATTTGTCCACACGTGTTATGGTTGCAGCGTAAGTAGCATTACTTCTATTGTACAGCTGCTAGACATGCAGATGTTACAAAGCTCGGTCTGCAGCGACAAACTATAATGGCTGATTTCCTTATGAACATGGAAACTTGACCATCTAGAATTCCGAATCCCGCCTGAATTCCACTAGATGGCATATAGTAAGGTTTCGGTATGTACTTAGCGACGGCAATTGTTGTACGCCAAAATCTAGGTAACATGCATACGGCTTACTAAATACATCTAGAATAAGAGAAGCAGTTCTTTATCTAATCGGGCAAGTTTTAACCGTTACTGAAAATCAAATGCTCGTTGAGCCAGACAATATTTCCTAATTGTAGACACAATTGTTGGCAGGTATCATCGAAATTTTCTATGCGTAAGAACATACAAAGATTCCAACGTATCAGTACTATTTCTGAACATGTTCTACGCCTAGGACATAGGTTATTCGTAGCCATTTTGCAAACGCTGACTGTACCAGGGTCTGTTCTATGCAAAAGCTTGGCGGTGCGCACCCCGGATGTAATCTAAAACGACGAGTTAAATACTTACCTATCTTGCCCGACTCATAAAGTCCGGTCAGCTGTACATGAATCTCTACACACATTTGGCTAGTTGAAATGGAAAATACCAATATTTTTTTGACCACCCTAGCATTTGTTGAGGTACTGAAAATAGCCACTGATGTTTTACAAGAAAAATGTTCTTCTGTTCCAGTTATCCGGTGCCAAAGTTTCGTTGGAAAGCACTACAATCATGAGCAAATGTTTCGATAAACACACGTGCATTTTTCATCCAAATGCATTCAGTTATGCCGGTGAGTGAAGGCAGATGCTACTAACGTATGCGAGTAATTGATCACAATGCAGGAACTATAGACGCTGTGAGGTCGATCAAGCATGGGACAAAAGAAAGAGTTGGTTAGCAAGGGACTACATCTATTGGCATTTGAGCGACAATTAACTAGCTGACAGTCTGTTATCGAATACTGAGTTTAAATCTACTCCTAAGTTTGTGCGGTTATTGCTGTCTAGCTTTTCATTCATTTGCTCTCACTGTCTCTGCAGTATGTGCTACAAGTGATCCAAGTAAACAGCAATAATTATCAGCTGCTAGGTTAACAATTATTGGCTATTGCGTCGATGAACAGCTCAGTGAGCTTAGGGCAGGACACTTGGAAATGTCTACAGAAGGGGAACTCGAACGATGTGCGTAACGTGCGATCGACTACGCTGATGGTAATCCTCTTCAAAAATGAGATATTCCTACTACCCCCTAACAATAGTATTCATGCAACTAGTTTCGATGGTATACAGTTGCGACTCAGAAAGAGATCCCTGGTGGCGGTGTTGTGCATCATGTTGGACAATATGATGCATTACACCGTAGTAGCGGCCAACTTAAAGGGGGCGTACTGCCACGCCAGTGGTCTACATCCTCGCTTGAAATGTATAGTCGTGAACACTAACTGGCAAAGAGTGTAGTGATATTCGCGATGCCAATGCAACTGTTAAACTAGGCCATAGAGGACTTTAGCAGAGACATTGAATAGAGGTGAATATGGTTGAGTTGAATA